AACAGGAGAACAAATAGTATAGCTGATTAAGATTTATGGTGTTTGGTGATTTTCATGGAGGATAGGTCAATCAATGGCTATTAGTCAGAATGGCAGGGATGGTATCCCTAGCCCCTGTTTGCCAGAAACTGGGAATGGGCGACAGGTAATGGATCACTTGAGGATTACCTGTTCTGTTCATTTCCTCTGGGGCACCTGGCATTGGCCACAGTCGGTAGACAGGATACTAGGCTGGATGGACCTTTGGTCTGACCCAGTATGGCCGTTCTTATTACTAACTTACTACAACCTTTTTTGGAAATAAATTCTGGAGACAATGAATTAAAATATTTTAATACCAAGATGTTACAAAACAACATTTTTAAAAAAATGTTTCATAACCTCAATACAAGTACTGATTAACATTTTTACTGCTCGACATCTGTTAATTTCTCCCCGCACATTTTGATTTCCTCTTTCTCGTCTTGTTCTCATTTTGAAAGAGAGATTGAAGGAACTCTCTTCAGAGACTGTCAAGACCACTCCACAGGTTAGTCAGAGATTTGTCTACTTTAGGGTTTCCTATAGAAGCCACCAATATGGTATGCAAGTACTAAAGAAAATGCTGGATGACAAAAATCACCCATTTTTCACTTCCCCTCACCAGGCACACCATTACAAACATAGGGCAAATCCTTTAAAAATTCTTTGCTAAGAGTTTTAAAAATTGAAAAAAGGGGAACTTTGATTATTTAGAGTTTAGGGGAACACCAAATCTTTTAGAAATTCCAAAAAATTGTCTTTTCAGCCATTTAGCTCTTTTATGCCAATTTCCATTTTATTTCATCTAGATTCTAGACTTACTACATCTTCCTTTCATCACTTAGGCCCCGATCCTGCAAACAGTTACACACATGCTTAACTTTAGTACTGTGAGAAATCCCACTTGGAATTACTCATGGCAGTAAAATTAAGCATGTGTGTGTTTGCAGGATCAAGATCATTGTGATCCAAATTCCCAGTCCTTTGTTACCTAGGGGTATTGGGTGCCTGTCTGATGAGCTCCGTGAGGCAGGGACCATGTCTTCTCTGTATTGTATGGCCCAGAGTACATTAACAATGCTTAACAAGTAAATAAGAATGAAGAAACATTTCATGGCTCTGTATGGATCTGAGGTGAATTGCCTCTAATAATTAAATAGTTTTATCATCACTAACTGGATGTATTCTAACCACAATATATTTGGGGTCAGATTTTAAGAGGCCCCTGATTTTGTGTTCATATTTTTTAGCACACAATTGCATGTTGGCACCAGAATCAGAGACTAAGCTGAAGTCCTTTTGAAACATCAAGGCCTCAGTTTACAGAAACCAAGTACTGACCACATACTGGCACACACTGTCCTTTCTCGGATTTATTTGGCATTTTCTAACAAAGTATTTGTCTATAAGAACAAATGAATACATTGGCCTAGTAGAAATTAAGAGGAAAAGAACACAGTGGTGATATAGTTCTCAAAACTGAATTTTTTGATTTATTGATATTCCATTCATGTAAGGCACATCAACATGGTAGTTACCCCATAATCAAAACTAAATGTTTCAGCTCCAGAAATCTGATTAAAAAGGCAATTAAAATTACATTGTTACAACACAATTCATGCCATCATCCTAAAATTATGACAAAATTTGCATCAAGCAAATGCTGTGTCTCCCAGGGAATCACTTTCTGCAACTTTAATAGTGTGGTACACAGTAAAGATGAAAGTGATTTCACCAGAATTTATATCTGATAATTTGGTCTGATAAAGGTCACCAAACTCTTAATGTTTTCTGTAGCCCTTTAGGAAACTGGCACTTGGTGTTCGTATAATACATTTATTGAGACAATTAAAAAAAAAACACACTTTTTAAAAAAAGGATTATAGCTAAATAAACGTGGTATGGCACAATAATATCCTGAATGAATCTGTTTGAAGTAAATCTCCAGCATCTCATACTATTTTAGTGTCAAATAATGAGGTAGCACATTGTTCCAAAATTGTTCTGAATTGTGTAATCCATTCACTACATGTTGTTTTGTCTTTACTTTCTGTTTAGAGCTCTGTACAGCACTTCCTTTCTTCTCCTGCTTTTTTTTATTATGCTTCTGCAGATGCTTATTTTCTTTTATTTTTTCTCCAACATTCTCTTCTTCCTCCCCTTCTTCCCCCTCATCTTCACTGTCTCCCTCCCCATCCTCCCTCTCATCTTCCCCCTCCTCCTCTCCCTCTTCTTCCTCCTCACCCTCTTCTTCCCCTTCCCCCTCTTCTTCATCTTCATCCTCTCCCTCTTCTTCCCCCTCCCCTTCCCCCTCCCCCTCTTCTTCATCTTCATCTTCTCCCTCTTCTTTCCCTTCCCCCTCTTCTTCATCTTCATCCTCCCCCTCTTCTTCCCCTTCCCCTCTTCTTCATCTTCATCCTCCCCCTCTTCTTCCCCTTCCCCCTCTTCTTCATCTTCATCCTCCCCCTCTTCTTCCCTTCCCCCTCTTCTTCATCTGCATCCTCCCCTTCCTCCCCCTCTTCTTCATCCTCCCCTTCCTCCCATTCCACTTCCCTCTCTTCTTCATCCTCCTTCTCTGCCTCTTCTTCCTCCTCTCCCTCCCCTTCACCTCCCTCTTCCTCCCTTTCACTGTCTTCATCCTCTTCCTCTTCATCCTCCTCTCCACCCTCACTCTCAGCCTCTACTTCTGTGTCTTCACTCTGCTCCTCCTTACATTTACCCTCCTTTCCTCCTTCTACCGTCTCTTCATCTTTCTTCTCCACTTCTCCCTTGCTCACTGTTTCTTCCTCTTTAAAATTACCCTTTTGACTTCTCTCTTCTGTGCCTCTTCTGTGATGATTCTCTTCAGCCTTTGCCTTTCTCTCATGATCATCTTCCGTTTCATACAGTGATTCAGCTTTTTCACTTTCTTCTCCATTACCTTTGTCCTCTTCATCTCCATCTCTTACTACTGAGGTATTATCATCATCATCATCATCATCTTTTCTAACCTCATTTTCATCTTCCTCCTCTCCAGATTCTACTTCACTATTAGTTTTTTCATCCTGGTTCTCCTTTTCCCTTTCACCATCTTTCATTCCCATTTCACTTTCTTCACTCTTCTCTGCCTGATTAAATTTTTCATTCTTAGCATCTCGCTGTGGGGCCTCATCAGGTTTATCATCAAACCTCTTCACTTTTGTTTCCTCTTCATTCAGGCTTTTTATATTGGTCTCTTCTGCACTCTCTCTCTGTTTATTTGTATCTTGCTCTTCTTCTGTCTCAGTATCTCTTTCTTCTAAATCATTCACATTTTCTACTGCTTCTATTTGCTTCTGTTTTCCGGTGTCTTTATAACGATCCTTGTGCATTTTTCTCCTCTGAAGTACATATTTTGCAAAATCATTACTACTTTCCTCACTTGAAGATGATGACACAGATACTGCTATTTGTTTAATGAATCTCTCCTTTTTCTTAAGTCCTCTCTGTTCTTCATTACTTTCTTCCCCTCTGACATATATTTCTCCATATTTGTCAGATGTCCTATCTTCATCCACTGCATCTTTACTTTCTTGTTTAACAGGTTTTTGGTTTTGTGCAGTTACTGAAATGGTCACTGGTTTGTTACTGGCTGCAGCAGGCAGTATATCTGTTTTAGGGGGGTGCTTAGATTTAATAGCTTTTTTTAACTTTTCAGTGGAAAAAAATAATTCTTTAGATTTATTACTGGAAAGACCGTAAGATGTGTCTTGTTTTCTAGGTTTAAGATTTTCTGCAGAGTCTTTCTTCCTTTTCACTAATTTGAGTTGATGTTTAACAGTTTGCTGAACATCAGACTTCAGTTTGCTAATAGTGTATGCCTGTTCTAGTTTATCTTGTATATGCTTTTTATTAGCCTTAATTTTCCCCACAAAGGCATCATAATCACTGCATTCTAGATCTGAACCATTTCCAAGAGACACTGAATTTAAAGACTGCTTTTGCAAAGAACCATCAGTTGATTTTGAACCCTCCTGCATGAAATTAAGATCAGTCTTTTTCAACCCACCCTTACCATCACTTTTCAGTGTCACATTTTTATTGTTCTTCTATTCCACATGAGAAGCAGAAAATTAAAAAGAAAGAAGGAAAGCATTAAGAACAAATTAAATGAGAACAAATGGAAAAGACTATAGACACATTTGAATAAGAAAAGATGTGTTTGATAGGACTAAAAAAAATGGCATAAAATACAGAATATTCCAAATAAAATTAATTTAAATAATACATAACTGTTTAAAGAATGAAACACTTATTGAGTAGGTTAAATGCACTCTACCGATTCTGGGATCAGTGTATTTACTATTGATCTAAAGCTACTTTGTCTTTTTCTGGCTTAAATTTAAAATTTTCTTCTTATATACTTCATTTATCAATCATATTTTGTGTAATCAATTTTGAAATATAAGATTATGAGCGGATATTAATGTACCCCTAATATCAAAATTCTGTTATCACTTTAAAATTAATACAGGATGGTAAGACAGAAGTCTCAACTTTATAATGGGATAAAAGTATTATTGCCCAGTGAATCATTACATTTTACTGTAAAATTACATCCAGCATTTTGTAAACATGGTTACTTTACATATATTTTGACCTGGATTTTAATCCAAATATTCTAGTATCAGCAATCAAGTAAATGGCAAGTTATTACTGTATGTTACAAAATGTATAATGTAAGTTACAGTATACTGCCCCTTCAATTACAGTAATATTATGATGTCTCATCTCAAACTGCATCTGCACAGAGCCCCAGTGATTTCCTTGTAAACTCAGGGATCTACCCAATGGAGCCATTTGCAGCATCCAGACCTAAAAGTTTTATGTAGGAAGAAGTCTATAGAAATTGAGGTTTCCTTTATGAGAATTAGGAGCAAAAAAGAGAAAGGAAAGAAAGAGGATGCCCTATGAAAAGAGTTATACATTTTCTACATTTCAAACATGATTAATTACAGTACCTTTTGTTTTTGAACTGGTGATAATTTTAAGGACTGGTCACTGGGATTCAATCTCATCATATGTGTCTGAAAAGAATGGGGATACAAATTAAAGAATGAAATGTAAGCTAATTAATAAACATGAGTTAAATAAGAATGATACCTTTTTTTACATTTAATAGGTTTCATCAGAGGATCTAAAAATATTTCCCAAACATTAAGCCTGTCAATTAAATTGTAATTGAAACTGCTGTGAATAAATGTATTCTATTGTTTAATTATGTAAATTAAATTCTTCAGACCATTTAAAAATAATAATCTACAAGATGACATTTAAGAGGTCTCCAGTATATTCACACTGGGCTCATTCAAGTGATCTTAGGATCTAGGGGACACCTTTTTGTATTTTTTTTTAAAGGGTGCCTAAAGTTAGGCTTCCAAATCAGTGGCTTAATTTTAAATGTCTTGAGCACCCCACAGCTCCCACTGTTTTTCACTGTGAATTCCTGGATGCTAAGCATATTTGAAAATTCAGGCCATCGACTTATGTGCCTTGATATAGATTTAGGAGCCTAATTTCAGACATAAACATTCAAGTCCTATACATCTAAGAAACTACAGAATAGGATATTAATTTCGCTATAATTCAAAATTCTAATGCAGCTAAAAGAAAAGCAAAGATTGATCTATGGGGACTTATACCACCACACTGTCTTGCAGATAGTAGTAAGATAGCACTTTCTGAGATAAGAAGAAATAATAAAATAATAATAATAATAATAATAAATTAATAATAAAAAAGGCATGAGGAAACGCCAGGCAGCAACACCTGGGTTTTGCTAAAGAACTGTTAAGACTAACAAGGATATGAGAAAACAGTTGAGTCAGGAAAAGACATGTTTTCATTTAAGATGAAAGCTGCAATTTCAACTGTGATGTTTTACTAAATTAACCCCCACATTTATTTGATTTCCAAGAGTCATGATGCAGTTTTGAGAACACCACAGAGGGGAAACTGAGGCAGTGCCAGAGTCCAAAACAGCTACAGCATGGTATCATGAAATACGTGAACATCTTAATACCACTATGCACACAGCCTGAGGAAAAAGACTGTCAAATTACCATTTTTAGCAAACAGTTCAATTCCGCTTTTAATGAACCAACAGTTTGCCATTCTGTAACCATCTACAAGTACACTTTGAAGCCACCTTCCATGCATCACAGAGTTCTGACTACTACCGTAGTGCCTTTTCACTTAAATATGAAAGGGGGGGGGATCCTCAGTTTCTCCCATGGTCACAATCAATTCTCTTTTAGAAAGAAAATCTGTCCCCGCTGCAATAAGATCAATCGCCGACTGAATGGCAGTAACTAATACCTTATCTCATGATCAGAGCCATGTACAGAATTGCTGATTTTCCCCCGAACCAACAACATTTTAGTTTCTAAGAGAGTTTTTTAAAAATATAAATACCCACATATCCCGTCTACTAACACCATAAAAAAAACACCACCAAGGCTTTTCATGCCTTTGGGGCCTACAAAAAACTGTCATTGCTGCCATTTAGAATTGGAGTAGCTGTGCTGTAAACAGGTAATTTCGCACGGGGAAGAATAATCACTTCTATTTCCATCTTGATACATTTTCCTGAAACAGAGATCTTTTCAAACAGCTACTTAAAAATATATTTCTACTACTTCTATATCGGTCTATTAACAGAAAGGCACCTCTGAATTTGTTCATAACCCAGTATACAAAAAAACAAAAAACACAAAAAAGTGAAAATATGCCTGGCATACAGACAGTACATGATGAATGCAAGATATTAAAAACAGATTTCTTCATATGTTAGTAAATTCTTCAAGACCTATTTTAATTTGTATATTTGGCAATTTTTACACCAAATATGTATGGAGTATTTTCACCATTCTTTTACAAATGTTTACAGGGACCCTCGGTTGGGGCCCGGAGTAGTGAGCGGGCTTGGGGAAGTGGCTGGACTGTTGGACAGAGATATCCAACTCTCTTCCCCCCCCCCCCGAAGGGGGAAACCTGGATAATGATACGGCCGGAGGGCTGAGTTGCAAAGAGGACGCTGCAGGTCTGGAAGCTAAGAGAGGAGCCATAGGCCTGGTTGGGGATGTGGGTGTTGGCCTTGAGCTAATCCCCAGCATGACCAGGAGGAGGCGGCAGTCTGGCTATGAGGACCACGCCCTGTGACAGGCTCCTATGATGAATCAATTAGGAAACAAAGACAAAGCAAGAGGTGCACATACATCAGTGAATATGGTTAGCACTACCAACCTTCAACCTTTGCAACTAAGATGGCTAGTACATTTTAGCAGGACTCTGTGCAGTTCTTGCATAGATGAGAATAAAGTTCATGCTACCATTTTATTTTTGTTTTTAATCTACTTTTCTCTCTTTCTTGAATGAATGGTATCTGGTTTAAACACAATTATAATTTGGATTGTGACTATTAATATTCAAGAAACAAATACCAATTGTCCATCCTGGGAGACATGAAAGGTCCTATTCTCTGAGGAGGAAAAACAAAGAGGTGGAGTCCACTAACTCAAACATGCCAAGGACATAAAGGGATTGTGCTCCTTGTAGTAACAGATGCCCCAGATTGGGGTCTGTGCTGGCATAAAGGGAGCCCCTAGAACTTGGGGGTACCAAGGTATGGTGACTACTTTTATTACAGCCATATCACAAAAAATGTTACTGCTATGTTTTCCCTCAAAATGATTGCTAAGCCACAATTTTAGTAGTGAGTATTTTACCATATTTAGAACATCCGTTGTGTTTCCAAGGCTTCTGTCATCACTTTCCTTATCTGAATCTTCCTCTGTGATACTTTCTTCAGGTTTCTCTTTTTCCTGCTTCCGATCCTCTTAAAAATAAAACAAGAAATATAAACAATAAGTACAATAAATTGGAGCAGGTAATATATAGCAAGCCAAACATCACCCTTATGTAGTAGGGAAGTATTATTATCCTTACACAGACGGTGCCTTAGCTCCCTGACATGCCCCATCCCCTAACCCCAGGTGGCAGCTCCTCCACATTAGTTTAGGTTAAGACCAGAATGAAGTCTAGCAGACCAATGCATCCCAGGGCATTGCAAGTCTCAGCTCATTTTTGCAGATTTTCAATGCAAGAGTCACCTGGAGCAAAGTTCCTTTCAGGTGAGCCTTTTAGTAATATTGTACTTTTTAATTTCCAAGGAAGAAACAGTCTTGTGGTTAAGGTACAGAATTGGGAAAGACCCAGGTTTTCTTCCTAATTCTGCCACTGACACTTGTAGTGTCTTGGACAAGTCACTTAATCACTCTGTGTGGCAGTTTCCTTATTTATAAAATGGGGATAACAATTACCTACTTTACAGGGCTGTTGTGAGGCTAAACTCATGTATGTTTGAGGTCTTTAGATAGCAGGAACTATAGGTAAACAGTAGCAGTTGTTTTTTCTTTCATTTAACCCTCCCTGCGAAATCCTTAAACATCTTTTCCACAAAAGGGCTGGGGAGGAACAGATTCCCCAGCACTACTTTCCAGCCTTTGTTTTTGTGCTCTCTCAGAGTCTGGCCAGCAAACACTGGGTTGAGACCCAGGTGTAGTGCTCAGTCGCAAGTTATGAAAGTCCTCAATCTTCAAATGAGTGGTTCTCTCACATACGTACAAACAGTATATATCTAGCACTTGGAAGACGGCAACAAACAGAAACATTATGTTTCACCTGTTTTACAGTCCACAGTAGATTCAATCGCTTTATTTGTATTCACTTCCGTTACAGCAGGATGGTTTGTTGTGAGTAAACTGAGTGGGACAGTGTTGCTGGCAGCACATAAAGTTGGTTTTAGGGAGCCTTCTCCCAATGGAGGTAACGTTCGCACCATTCGACAAAACTGTTCTGGAGATTTTTCCTTAAAAAAAAAATTTTTTTTAAAGAAAGTGTTGAGAACATTCTGAGACTGATAAGAGAAAATCACCTTCTCATACTTTAATTACAGTATTTGCTAGAGGAAAATACTGTAATTAAGTATGATAAAAGCTGTTTGTACTCTTCAATTATTTGAAGTCCTAAAAAAATTGATAGGTATATTAAGCTGATGCTTTCCACACAACAGTCAAATAATTGTTCGATATCTTAAAATAAGCAACAATAAAAAAGAGCTTCCATTATGATTTTAAAAGAATGAGAGTTTATTTAATCCACAATTTAGGTACATAGAATATTTTCCCTTTATTCTGTATTTATCTACATTCTGTAGAATGGAAACTGGATTTCAAAATTCAAAGGTATCAAAAGGGCACAATGGCCTTCAAGAGAGATATCTTTTTAATATTAAACTAACGGTAATTTGAACAGATCAAAATTCAAAAATTCACACATTTCTACACTCATTTCAAATGTAAGAATCTGTAGAAATATTATAGTATGTTTCATTACATGATACATAATAGCAGCATCAGAGCTTAGCATAAACAAAGCTTGGAAGCTGGTTTCTGAAGAAAAATGGGCTGGTGTGATTTCCTGTTTCTTCATGATGTATAAAGAAGGCATGAAAAGTTTCTCCTCCCCAATGCTAAAGTCATCCCCTTTTTCTTTTCCTGGTTTTTACATTATAAATTCAAATGTTCTCTACACTGTTTCTCCCCACCCCCCAAAAGACACTATGGACAACTGGCGAACTGGTGGTTTTATGACACCACAGATATCAAGGAAGCAAAACCTTATTACTTAAGAGGAAGTAATTTTTAGTCAGGTTAACAAAACAAAAACCAAACACCAATTTAACTCACACATTAGATAAACAGACAAGAAATCTCCTAATTTACTTCTCAGGGGCCTCCAAAGGAAGCCCCTGGAAAAACAGGGAAGGTGAGATTCAACATTCCTGATATCTCTAAAGAGAGGAACAAAAAGCAGCAGGCTCTTACACATTGTTAAATTTCAGGCCTCTACAGATCATAAAAAAGCAAAACAGGGCAATTACCCATTTTTTCCCCATCATCAAGTAAGAAGAGGTTACTCATCTTGTGCAGTAACTGGAGTTCTTCCAGATGTGTGTCACTGTGGGTGCTCCACATCAGGTGTGCTTGCACCCTGCACCTTTGACTGGAGATTTTGGTTGCAATGCCTGTTCCGCCTGCACATGCATCCTACACATCCTTCTGCCCCACATTCAGGCTATACGGGGCTGCAAAAGTGAATCACCCTCAGTTCCTTCTCTACCATAAAGTCCCACCAGGGAGACGCTAAAGCAGAAGGGAAGGAGGGCAGCTAGTGGAGCACTTACAGGGACACACATCTCAAAGAACTCCAGTTACTACATAGGGTGAATAACCTCTCCTCCTTCAATTAGTGTTCTTGTGAATGCTCCACTTCAGGTGACTCCCAAGCAGCACCCTGTAAGGAGGCGGGAGATTAAGAGCAGAGGAAAGAACTGCATTGTCTACTGCAGCATCTGATCTTGCAGCAGGAACGAAGGCATAATGGTTAGAAAAAGCATGAACAAAGGACTATGTTGATGCTCTACAGATTTCTGCAACTGGTATGACTTTAAGTAAGGCTACAGATTTTATATAGTGCTCTTATGGAATGTGCTATCACTCTCGAAGGAGGCTGAACCTGAGTTTGGTTGTAATAGACCTTAATACAGCCGGAGATCCACTTCGATAACCTTCTGTTTGAACATTACCGATGCCCTGTTTCTGTCCGCAATGGAGACAAACAATCTAGATCTAAACAGCCTGGTCCTAGCTAGATAAAAGGCTAATACCCTCCTAACATTTAGGATATAGAATATAGCTTCCTGACTCTGATGTGGTTGGGGGGGGGGGAGGGGGAAAACAGGAGATAAATAGTTTAATATGAAATTCTGATGACACCTTTGGCAAAAATCTTGGAAGGGGCCACAGCATACTTTGTCTCTGGTGAATACCATAAATGGGGAGTCTGCCGTTAAAGCCCTCAGTTCTCCAACCCTGAAGGCAGACATGATGGCCACCAGAAAAGCTATCTTAATTGATAAATTTAATAAAGAACACACAGCTAGTGGCTCAAAAGGATGTTTCATGAGGCAATTAAGAACTAGGTTCAGGTCCCAGCTGGGACTAATATCTCTGATTTGAGGGGAGAGATCCAATAGACCTCTTAGGAATCTTGCCATGATTGGGTGAACGAAGACCAAAAAAAAATCCTTATGGATAAAGTGAATTGAAGCTAAGTGGAGCCTAATGGAATTCACAAAAAATCCTGATGTTTTCAATTCCAACAGGTAATCCAATACAATGGGAAGAGAACAGTGAGTCCTTAATGTTACACCAAAGATGATATTTTCATTTCAGGAGGTAAGTATTTCTTGTAGATTTTTTTCTACTATCTAATACAGTGCTCCTCACTATTTCTGAAGTGGGGGCCACTTTGGAAAAAAACCTTCAATGTGAGAGCCACATCAACTACTAAATTAACACATTGCTTCCTATTCCTTAATGATGTAATGTTACAGAGCCACTCGTGTAACTAAAACAAAGTCTACTTGTACAATAAAACGATACTCCTTTTATAAAATAATAACCAGGAAAATATATGGAATTAAAAAGGCACCTATGCGAGTAAACTTTTTAAGAGCAGAATAATGCAAAACTTACTTTAAAAACTGGATGAGTGAAAGTGTGCCTGTTCCTCCTTGACTTTGTTTATGCAGTATTTGTAATCTGTCATCGCAATCCTAGTAAGGCAATCCAAATGTTTGTTGGTCAATTTATTCCTCTGTTTTCTTTTCACCCCTCTGGCTGTGGGGTGGGGCTGGGGATAAGGGGTTCAAGGTGCAGGAGGGGGCTCAGGGCTGGGGCAGAAGGTTGGGGGTCTGAGGGCTCTGACTGGGGGGTATGGGCTCTGAGGTGGGGCCAGGGATGAGGCGTTTGAGGTGCAGGCAGGCTGCCCTGGGGCTAGAGGACTCCCCCCAGCCCTCTCCCTGCTGACAGCAGCTAGCTCCGGGGAAGGGGTCTTTCTCCCCCCTGCCGGCAGGCAGCCCGGAGCTCTGGGAGAGGGGCCCCTCTCTCCCCTCTGGCAACAGGGAGCTCCGGGGCCGGGGGAGAGGCCCACAGCAGCCCTGCAAGCCCCAACTTGATCCCCTCCCCAGTTCCTGCCCAGCCTCACCTCTCTCCTCTCCAGGTCCCTGCTGGATGGCCCTTTAGAGCTGCTGCATGGCTATTTGTAGCCTGCTGCGCAGCCGTGCAGCTTAGAGGAATTTAGCAAGCCATGCTTAGGGTCGATGGGAGTCACCACTGGCTCACAGGCCTTGCAATGAAGAACACTGATCTAATAAAACGTGTTGTACTTCTGATGAACAGGATCTCTCTACTTCAGAAAACCTTTGAGGAACCATACCTGGAGCCTCAGAATCTGCAGGTTGGGGTGAAGTGTTTAACTGGCATGCTGAGTCAGCAGATGAGAACTGACTGGAAGATGCTATGGAGCACCAGAGTTGAGTCTAATTAGACAGGGATCCAAAACTTGTTTGAATAACGCTGGTGCAAGCACTATTAACCTGGCCTGATCTTGTGTGACCTTGTTGAGAACCTTCAACAACAACAGTGTCTGTGGATAAGCGTAGAGAAGATCCCTAGTCCATTAAATGAAAAAAGTGTCTCCTATGGGCTGAGGACTGAGACCCTTCTGGAGCAATACTTGATGCATTTTGCACTGGCTGCTGTTGCAAACAGGTGAGCCTCTGGGAACCCTCAAGCTATGAATACTGTGTCAAGGACTCAAGAGTCCAGTTATCAATCGTAATTTAGAAAGAAATCTCTGCTGAGGTCATCTGCCATGGTATTCTGAATACCAGGGAGGAAAGAAACTGCAATGACTATCTGGTTGGCTATGCACCAATGCCAGAGTTTTGATCACTTCAGCACAGAGATGGGGAATGTGCTCCTCCCTGACAGTTGATATAGTACATGTATTTCACATTGTCTGTCATTATCTTTACTGACTTGACTCTGATTAGAAGTGTAAAGCATAGGCCAGCAATTCTGACCACTCTCAATTACAGACAATTGATGAGGAGAAGCTGCTCTTGTAGTGAGCATTTGCCTTGTATCTTCTGAGGTCCCAGATGTATCCCTCTACCCAACACTGAATCATCTGACATTATCATTATGGTAGGAGGGTACTGTGCAGGTTTTGGTCAGGTCCTTCAACCAGTTGAATGACCATAGAACCCATTGGGGAACAGACACTAATCTTCCCTTAATGTGCTTGCTTGATTTGTAAGCCATTCAAAGCCATCCAGGGAGACTTCGGAAATGTAATCTGGCATGTTGCACTACAAAGACGTAAACTGATGTGTGCCCCAGCAGTTGATGACAATCTCTTACTGTTACTTGAGGACTGCCATGAATCCTTGAGATAAGACTCAGTGTGAGATATCTGCTGGAAGAGACGCATGTTCTGCCTGTCACTGCATCCAGGCAAGCTCCTATGATATCTAGATACTGTACTGGAGTCAAAACAGACTTAGAGGTTGAGTTGAAGGCCCAGGCTGTGGAACAGAGAACACGTCATCTTTACAGCCACCAACACTTCCTGATAAGATCTGCCCCAATCAACAAATCATCCAGATACGGGGAAATTATTATACCCAGACAACGTAGGTGGGTGGCAACTACCACCAGAATTTTTGAGAATACCCTGGAGCAGAAGATAGCCTGAAAGGGAGCATGTGATATTTGTGTTTGTTGTTGATTAGAAAATGAAGAAACCTCTTGTATGAAAGGTGAATAGCGACATGAAAACGTGTCTTGTAGGTCAAGAGTCACAAATCTTGGTTTCCTGGCCAGGGGCTCAGATGATCTATGGTAAGTTGAATTGGGGGCTGGGCATGATCTTTGTGCCCTCTGAGACTTACTAAATCTCTTATTTACAGGCGTATAAATCAGGATCTCAGCATAGCTTTCGAGTCCTTTAAAATGTGGAAAGATGTATCCATTGAGTCTCAAAAAGCTTGTGAATATCAAAGGGAAGGTCCTCAGTGGTACTCTGGACCTCTATTGGGAAGCCTTACAACAGCTGCAGCCCAAGACGCTTTTCTCAGACTGTGCTGCAGTATCTGAAGCATCCAAGGAGACCTGGAGCAATGTTTTTGCCAGGAGCTGACCCTCTTGAATAATGACCTTAAATTGGTCACAATGTTTCTCTGGCAAATGATCAATAAAGGAATTAAATTTGTTGTAATTCAAATAGGCATACTTCGCTACGAGCACCCGATGGTTCACTATTCTAAAATGAAGTGTGGCTGAAGATTTATGGCCAAAAAGATAGCGCTTCTTGTGGTCCTTGCTGTATGGGGTGGACTTTGAGATATATTGTTTGCCCTATTCATTAACAGACTTCACTACCTGAGAATTTGGCACTAGGTGAGAAAATAGAAATTATGATTTCCTGGAAGGGACATAATACTTTTTAATCCACCTCCTTGCGGATAAGCAGTGCGGTAGCTGGGGTTTGCCAAATGGTCTTAGCAGGTTCCATAAGAGCTTTGTTGACCGGAATGGCAATCCTCAAGAATTTTGACATAGGTAAAATATGTAGGAGTTTATGGTGTGACTCCTGAACTGTGTGTCAGCAATTTCATCAGTTCCTGTAACTACCTGAAATCATCTGCCAGAGAAGATGGTGGAGACATCACAACTTCTTCAGACCATGAGGAGAAAATATTTGTAAGAGGTGTTACCTCCTTGTCTGCCCTTGATTCCAACTTCACAAAGGTTCTCTCCCCTGGCATTCATAGTGCCACAGGTGGTTGGGGAATGTACTCTTCTTTGCTTCCTTCGGTGGTGTGATAACTTCATCACAAAACTGTTGACAGAATGCCCATAGCTCCCAACAAGCCCACTGGTGGGGGGGCATATGGGATAGGTGGAGGCAACCATCTCTCTTCTTGCCACATGGGTGTCCTTTGAGGTCTATCCTCCTCCAATGCCTCAGTGTAGGAGAGGCAGCAATGTGTTCTAGAGTAGACAGGGGAAGCCTATTCTGAAATTTGAGAGTCCGAGGATCCTCTTCAACATATCCAAGGGGGGGAGGAGGGAAAATAACTGTTCTGCTTGTGTTGTAAACGAGGGTGAGTATGATATTCTAGATGATGGATGGGGTCAGTGACCAAGTAAAACTTGATGAGGGTAAACCCCCAGTACCAGTTAGCAGAGGAGATTCTGACTCTGAAGATACTAGAAGATCCTTAGAGTATCTAAATTCTATGGCATCAACGACAGGGCCAAGAAAGAACCCGTGGAGGACAGCTTCGGTACTGATGTAGCTGGCACCAAGTGCTTGGCATAGGAATAAGTAGACTCTAATTACACCAGTCGAGCAGTCTTCAGTAGCAAAGACTTCCAAGTGGCCAGTACCAACTGATGTTCAGGGATGAGACTAAAATTCTTCTGGGAAGAGTGTCTATGGCTCTGGGTATGATACCTGAGTTCAGTACTGAGTCTGTCTTTGAGGACTGACTCCTTGAAACGGTCTTCCCGGTCTTTGCAGTACCGGAATCACTTAGCCCCTGCATGATACTCCCCTGGGGACCTGAGGTCTACATAGCCTTCTTGTGCACCACTGATCAAGACTTTCTCAGAGATTTACTCTTTATCTCTTTCTGAATAGAGGCAGATGCCAAGGCTACCTTTGCTGAGGTCTTTGGTGCCATAGATGCAATCAGTGCCATGATACTGCCTCCATCTCTATCGACCTCCAGTGACCAGGATACTGATGTGGATGGGGCACAAGCTGTCCTGGGACATCTATATACAGGGTCATCTTCCGCCCTGGATCTGAAGCCAGTTTTAAGGCTTGCGCCATCTTCAGGAGTTTAAACTTGATCTCCCTATTTTTTCAGGATCTATCATTGAAGGAAGTGCAGATTATGCACTTACTGGGAATAGGAGTATCTCACAAACAACGAAGGCACTGAGAATGCCTGATTTGGACAGCCTCACAGCAATAGGGGCACCTTTTAAATCCTGCGGAACCTGGATCACCCAAGCAAAATAACAAAAAATGACCCCTAAATAGGGAAAGATTTTACAACAATATTTTTTTTTTTTAGAGAAAGGAAAAGAAAAAAGGGAACTACAAACACTAAATAAAATAACTAACTACATACAACGGCCTGGTCTACATTATGAGTTTAGGTTGAATTTAGCAGCGTTAAATCGAATTAACCCTGCACCCGTCCACACAACTAAGCCAAAACTATTTTTGTCAACATAAAGGGCTCTTAAAATCGATTTCTGTACTCCTCCCCGACGGGGGGAGTAGCACTGAAATCAACATTGCTGGTTTGAATTAGGGTTAGTGTGGACGCTATTGGCCTCCGGGAGCTATCCCACAGTGCACTATTGTGACCGCCCTGGATAGCAATTTGAACTCAGATGCACTGGCCAGGTAGACAGGAAAAGCCCCACGAACTTTTGAATTTCATTTCCTGTTTACCCAGCGTGGAGCGCTGATCAGCACAGGTGACCATCAGCTCCCTACGAGCTCCAGCATGGACCGTACAGGAGATACTGAATCTGATCTCTTTGTATGGGGAGATGAATCTGTTCTATCAGAACTCAGTTCCAAAAGACGAAATGCCAAAACATTTGAAAAAAATCTCCAAGGCCATGATGGACAGAGGCCACAACAGGGACTCAACACAGTGCTGTGTGAAACTTAAGGAGCTGAGACAAGCCCAGAAAGCCAAAGAATCAAATGGACACTTACTGAGGGAGGGGCGACTGACGACTGTAGCTATCCCACAGTTCCCGCACTCTCCAAAAACCATTTGAATTCTGGGTTGAGCTCCCAATGCCTAAAGGGTCAAAAACATAGTAGCGGGTGGTTCAGGGTATATGTCGTCAGCTCCTCCCCTCCCCCCCGTGAAAGCAAAGGGGAAAAATTCATTTCTTGCCTTTATTCATTGTCACCGTATATCTACTGGATGCTGCTGGCAGACGCGGTGCTGCAGCGCTACACAGCAGCATCCCCTGGCCTTGCGGACGGCAGACAGTGCAGTATGGCTGGTAACCATCATCGTCGTCCTGTGGGTGCTCCTGGCTGGCCTTGGTGAGGTCGGTCACGGGCGCCTGGACAAAAATGGGAATGACTCCAGGTCATTCTCTTCTTTAAGTTTTGGGTAATGGAGATTCAGTCCTGCCTGGAATATCATGCCAGCTGGAGGCTTCTGCCTCAGGCTGCTCTCCCAGGCGGAAACACCGCACGGTCACACCTACCCCAGCCTACCCCTTGCTACCAGGGCTCACAATCAGATACTTAGACCTCTACGTTTTGCTGCAAATAAAAAAATAAAGCTGCCGTTTAGAACTGTCCCCCAACATACAGGTCCTGGGACATTTTGTATTTTACCAATGTCAACCAAAGGCCCACACACAAATGGAGATTCAGTCCTGCCTGTGCTTCTATCTTAGTGCTTATCACAGATTCCCATTTTCAGCTATAGGCTGAGCAAGTGCAGAATGGTGGTGCACTCTACTTCGCTGTAAGCCAACCACCCTCCCCTCCACCCTTTGCTCTCTGCTTACAGAGGCAATAAAGTATGTGTTGTTTCAAATTCATGCATTCTTTATTACTTCATCACACGAATGGGGGGATAACTGCCAAGGTAGCCCGGGAGGGTCGGGGAGGAGGCAAGCAACGGGTGGGGTTGTTGTAGGGGCACCCCCTAGAATGGCATGCAGCTAATCATTTCTGCGGGATGTCTGGGGCTCTGACCCGGAGTGGCCGTTTGCCTCTCTGGTCCTTTAGTAGGCTTGCCTGATATTCTAGGCAGGACTGACTCTCCATTAGACAAAACTTAAAGAAGAGAATGACCTGGGGAGTCACTCCCATTTTTGTCCAGGCGCTCCCGACCGACGTCACCGAGGCCGGCCAGGAGCACCCATGACAGCAGCATACAGTACAGTATGGCTGGTAACCGTCTTTGCCAACTTGCAAAGGCAAGGGGTTGCTGCCGTGTAGTGCTGCAGTACCACATCTGTCAGCAGCATGCAGTAGACATACGGGGACAGTGAAAAAAGGCTGAACGGGCTCCATGGTTGCTGTGCTATGGCGTCTGTCTGGGCAATCCAAGGAAAAGGGCACGAAATGATTGTCTGCCGTTGGTTTCACGGAGGGAGGATTGACTGATGATATTTACCCATATCCACCCGTGACAAATTTTTGGCCCCATCAGGCATTGGGATCTCAACCCAGAATTCCAATGGGCGGGGGAGACTGCGGGAACTATGGGATAGCTACCCACAGTGCAACGCTCCAGAAGTCGACGCTAGCCTTGGCACATGGATGCACACCGCCGAATTAATGTGCTTAGTGTGGCCGCATACACTCGACTTTATACAAATCGATTGCCAAAAATCAAATTCTGTAAATTCGGAGTAATCCCACAGTGTATACATACCCTAACTAACTGCTGAATAATAAAGAGAACAGGCACACAGTAGACACTGTCTCAGGCTGAAGGCAGTTGAGAAGGAATTGAGGGCAGTTTGTCTGCACAGCCCCATATAACCTTGCTGCAAGGCACAAGGATGTGTGGGGCACCTGAATAGGCACGGTTACCAAAATCTCCAATTAAAGGTGCAAGGTGCAGGCACACCTGAAGTGGAGCACTCACAGGAACATTACTCAAAGAAGAACCTTGAAATACAAACATTTATTTCAAAGAGGGATATTTATCTGGTGAGTGTAAGCTATAAATTTAAATTTTTTGAAAAAGTCTCTTTTCCTGTAAAAAAATCATGGAAACTTAATAAATGTCAAAAATAGTTAGCTCTGAATTTACCCTCTCTCTCCGTCGCATTCGAGCCGATAACGTTCTCTGCAAGGTGTTAGTTACTAATGAATCACCACCCAGTTTAGAGATAGTAGCAGCCAAACAGTTTTCACGTAAATCTTCATGTATTTCTTCAGACCCTTTAGGCCTTGGAGTGGCAAAAACTAGCATGTGACAGCCACCACAAGCAACCTACAGTGTAAACACAAAAAGATCTCATTGGCCTGCATTCATCTTCTGGACCAAGGACTAAGAAATACGTTAGAAGCTCCAAATGTTTTGCTCCACACTTAGTTACAGACTTCAGTATGTTGGAGTACAAACTAATCACTGATGTTTAAAAAATATAATGGATCAAAACTTTTTAAGTACAATATATCGTAAAACAGAATAAAACTAGCCAACTCTCCAGAAGCAAGCAACAAATTCTGCATCAATTTTCAAAGGAGTTTAGTAAATCATTTTGATGTTAGCCAATATTACATATACACAATGTTACCATCTCTTGCAAACTACCACAAGTCTCATAATATCTGATGTTTTATCTAGAGCCCTAGTCAGTATGGAAGACAAGTTATTACATGAGAATCTCAGCTTTACTTTAAAAAAAAAAAAAGTTTCTATCCCTCATAGTTGTAGAGAAAAGCTTGAAAACATGACCCACGTGACATGTTGATGGCCCAAAAAACAGAAGCAAATAAAAAGAATCCAAAATGGCTTGTTTTGTTTAATTGATCTTTTGGGGCCTGACTCAGTTTCTGAATGTTTGGAGCTAGCATTACAGCAATTTTCTTCAATACCAGCAGGAAGACTAAAACAATAACCTAAAAGAACAATATTGCCTCTCTTTTCTCATCATGTTTGGATTAAAAAATGAATACATTTTCATTTTATTAAACTTTTGTAAATAACCTACATTATAAATAATCTTAGATATTAAAGTGATATACACCAGGTGGTTTAGGTCCACACATTGGGATGGAAGGCTATTCTTAAAACTAAAACTACCAAAATGTTAAAAAGTTTTTTGTTTGAAATGTATAGATTCCTTTGAAGTGTTTGCAACCTAAACATTGCAGTGTTGTGGAAGTGCACAACAATCTGAAAGAAAAACGGACTAGTCTATTTTTATGGTCCAAACTGATCACAGAGCGAGAAGTGAAGCAGCAGAATGGGAAGCGGTAAATAAAACAAAACATTTTAACATTCTTTCAGTATTAATCTACAGTATTAATACTATAAGGAAATATTATAAATATGATTTTAAACTGTCAGATTTCCCTTAATAAGGTATGTTTATAAAGTATATGCATTTCAAAGTTTGAGAAAAAAGAACAAAGCAAAGCCTTACCAAATAGACTGCAAACTTCAAGAAATTAGAACATAAGGTGGGTATGAATTGATTAGTAAAATTCTCTTCTCCAAGTCCTAACTTGCCATGCCGTCCATCTCCAAAAGTAAACATAAGGCCATTGTCTACATGGAAAAAGAAACATGTAGAAGGTCCATTAAAAGCACATGACAAAATTGTTATAAGAGTAGAATTAAATATATTTTGAAAGCAAGGTATATTTCATTTTCAAAAATCAAATATGAACAAATATTTGTATGATTTTTAAACTACTAAATATGGTCCAGAAGATAAATACATTTTCAGACAAAAGTATTGACTGGGATTGTTAGTCTAGGTAACGAAAAAATAAAGCACTAAGAAAAAATACAATACAACTGTATAGCAAAACTGAGACTCATGCAAGAGTGTCAGGCAGGAGTTTGTGAGGCTACAGCTTCCTTAAAAGGTGGTGTGGTCTACAGGAATAACTATATACAGAAAGTCAAAAACAGAATTCCTAAACTCCAATCTGGCTCTTCCACGGACCGCTGGATGGCCTTGGGCAGTCACTTAACCTTACATTAAATCTGCATGTTTGTTCCTCACTGTGCTCATTTTATAATAAAAAAGTCCATATCATAAATGATAATACATCATCATTTTAAGTACATTTCAGAAGTTTCAGCATACATACCTGCTATTACAGCTGTATGATTTTCCCCACATGCAATGTTACATATTTTATGCCTCTTCAGATGTTCCACTGCCTTTGGTACCGAGGTTTCAAAAATAAATGTACCATGTCCAAGTTGCCCATATTGTCCAAGGCCAAAGGTATATACATCTGTTTCTGAAAATTGTACATGGAAAGTAAACAGTTAATTATAATTATAATCTTCCCACTACTGGCAAAACAGAAATCAAATCACACTCCAACTTTTTTTTTTATAAAGTTTTACATTTTATCAATTCATAAAGTGTAATCACAATGAAAGAGAAAAATCAAAAGAAACATGAAATGAAAAACCATCCTTCCTCCGAAAGATTTAACTAAACATATAGAAAATAAACTGGTATGAGCTGCTACATATTTTGTTTCATGGCATATTTGCAAAATAAGCTATTGACTAAATGCACATGTGAAAATAAGCCAATGAAAATTATACAATGTTATATATTACAGCTGAGATCAACACAAGCCCACGATTATTAAAAAATTTCATTATGTATATTTTCCTCTTCAATAGCCTACTCTTGAACTTCCTGCCACATTTAAAAATCTATTATGTATGATGATCCAAATCTTTGCAGGTCTGGTATTACTGAAATATTAAAAACACTGACAATGTTGTTATTGCAATGTATCTGGAAACTCCAGGCTTAATTTTCCTCTTCATATTCATTATCCATACAACCACCAGCAAGTGTCAGGAACATTTGCTTTTAAAACATTTTTCTCTGTTCAAGAAGCAAGGTCATTCAGATGGCAAGGTTACATTCAGCAGCTAAATAAAAGCATTTAAAAATAGTTTTATGTTTGCATATGTTGAAAATATCTGATATTTTTTAAGTGGAAGTAAAGGAACCACACCTCGCTACCAAAAGAAAGAGAGAACTCAAGACTTCTGAATGGAAGTGAGTATGTCTGAATGTACATTGTACTCCCACAGAAAATCAAACTTAGGTAGAAGTCACACTGTACACAAGCAGGGCGAGTAGGTGCTCCTCCCACTTGTGGGGTAAAAGCCAGACTGCAGCACCAGGGCAGGAAGGTCTCCTACCCGTGGAGGTAGACACCACTCCATAGCACCAGAAGCAGGAGAAGCACAAGCTCCTCCCACCCCGGGGAGGATGCCAGGCCATCACACCAGCCATCTACGTACAGTAACTGAACGCTTTTTGGCTGCATTCTCAGAGGAGCAATAAACTGGTAGCACATTTAAAAACAAATCACACATTACATTTACTCCAGCGCTATCTCCCAACCACTCTCCCACCTTTATCTTGTCTCTTTTGTGGGAGAAGAAGAGGGATGGGAAGAAAATAGAAGTGGAGCAGACCCAGCATTATTAGCCCAACATATTCATTGACTTTAATTGCAACTTCAAGTCAACAAAGAATACAGTAACATAAAGCTGAAAAAAAGAAGAAGTATTTCTGCTTACAGGATATCTTTTCTCCTCATCGCTCTTTTAAAACAGTTTTAAGGATCACTTCTGCAAAATCAAAAGACTATGAAATATAAAGAGTAAGACTTTTTTTTAAGTATGCAGAATATTTTGTAAAATTATCTTCCTACTAAATTTAATATTAAAGCTCCCTCTGCTGGAAGATTCAGTGCTAGGAAAAAATATCCAGAAAGGGATTGCTAACAAGTAAAATAAAATAAGAAATCAGAAAGATCCCTTAATTCCAATTAATGGAAGAATAACTGATAGATACCTAGACTTCCCAGCTACGAATACAGATTGTTCTTGAAGCAGATACTTTCTTTAGTCAGAACTGAAGTCTCGCCCTCAATTTGGCAAATGGATTTCCCAGGATGCATGATGCCATAAATTCTAATAGCCTTAGGAACATTCAAATATGTCTTCAAATTTCTCTGGAGACAAAGAGACCTTTGTCATCCTTGCTCTGATGAACATAATGAGTTTAAGTGAAGTTGGATGTTTATCATATTGTTTGCTAAGTCTAAACCAAGGTATGGAACATACTCTTCTCTAAGACAATTTAAGCCTCTATGAACATCTGTGCTTTTAGTAGTCAGTTGCCATGGAATGAGAAAAAAAGAATGCACTGCTTTCTCAAGTGAGTTGCCACCACAGTAAGACATTTGTTAAAGACCAAGGATGCAAAAGAAAAATCAAATACAGGTAATGATCCTCTCCAACACAGAAAAGAAGGTATTTCCTATGAGCAGTCTTTATGGAATACATAGAAACAAGAGGGTCAGGCAAATCATCCCTTAGATTTGTAATGCAATTATTGAGGCCAAGGCCACTATTCTGAATTTTCAGAGTGCTTGAGCCTATAATAGAAGATACGTCCCAAAAACCCCAACCAAACAAAAACCATTAGAGCTCAGGAAGCATTGGAAACAGCATCTCTGTCTCCGATACTGCCAAGGAACCACTTCTGTTACTCTACTCAAGATAGAGAAGGGTTATGACTACATCCCTTTCAGCAGTTTCTCATGAAAGGGTTCCCTGTAAAGAGATGATAAAGGGAAGAAGTTTTGGTGGCTAGAGTGCAAAGGCATAGCAAAACTGTTCCAAACTATCTTGAGCACTTACTGTTGGACATGATTCCATTCCATGCCACCACAACAGAATACAGATGGTCCCCTCCAAAACTTAGTAAAATGGGATAAGTTCAAGATAGTTTGAGTTAGGACCAGGTCTGGCTCCAGGCACCAGCTTAACAAGCAGGTGCTTGGGGCGGCCAAGGGAGAGGGGCGGCACCTGCGACAATTCGGGGGCGGCAGGTCCCTCACTCCCTGCTTGGGGTGACAGAAATGCTAGAGCCGGCCCTGGTTAGGACTTAAGCATTCTCTTTTACAGCAGAAAAAAGGCCCAAAGGTACAAGCAGCATAACTGTGCTTCTGACAATAGGATTTTAGATTTTTTTCAAGCCAAAATAAGGTTTGAGATTTCTTCTGGTCAGTCTGGCTTTGGGGCAAGTTGAGAGGATTTGTGATATATGAAATATTTTTTCTTAAAAAAGGGGGGTAGTTTGGCAAATGACCAAGGACTTCAATCTTTCTTCTTCTCTATCACCTTATTCATATCTCCACCTTTGTATACATGTCAATAGATACATACAGCAGAACACTTCCTCCAAGTCTCACCTCAAAGTGGTAGCTGCAATTACAGATGAAGCAGTTGTAGTCAAAGAGTCCAGATTTTTGATTTGCTGTGATGGTGAAGAGAGGAAATAAGGGTGTAGGGGGAATATGATTCCTTATAGGAGGGCTCCGTGGCTCAAGATGAGATCCATGCATTCCCCGATGGCTAGAGATTTCTAGAAGGATTCAGGTTTGGTGTGAAGCATGAAGGCACAATTCCAAGAGTATTTTTACATACTGAGAGAGCTCAAATATTACAAATATCCCTTCCCTATCCATATTAGCCTGTAATTCCCATTTGCCTCCTCATCTTTGAATTTCAGGAGACCTTTGAAAACGAGCTCTGCATATTGCCTTAATTTTCTCCTCTCCTCAGGAAAACTAATTTTTCCCAGATCATTTTGGGCAGCTGAACTTCAGTTAATTCAATTATATTGCCCAATTCCTTTTTTCCTTGCTTGCTTCTTGCACCATACTATAGTCTGGCTTCATACAATGTTTTGTTTGCTTGATTGGGTATCATCTATAGGCTGTAGCAACACCATTAAGAACTTTGATAAAATCTGTTCTGTTTGCTCAACTTCTAAAAAGAATAGCAGCACAGTTGACAATAAGAGTAGAGACTAAGGAGTTTGGTCACTTCTGCTCTCCTCATCCGGAGCCTGAGGAGGGAGCCCTCAGAAATAGGTAATAGAATGCAGTTATCTGCATTCATGGAGTATTAGGAGTGATCTGGGCCTTATTCAGCCTGCCAGTGGGGTGAGGGAACAGGGTATACTCAGGATCTGTCCCTTCATGCCAAACAGTGCACCAACAGTATCTGCTCACACACAGCTTCACAGCTGCTGTGCCTGTTATTCTTGCTTCATGTTCTTAAAGCTTTTTTATCACAATCCTTAGAGACAGATGAGTTATACAAGAAGATCGGGATGACCTTGTAAACTGAACTAATAGAAATGGGATGACATTTAATAGTGCAAAGTGCAACACCCTGCCTTTGGAGACTAAGCAACATGAATTTTTGTTATAAGCTGGGAGCGACAGAGGAGAAAGTCCTGGGTGTATTGGTTGATCACAGGATGACTATGAGCTGTCAATGTGATGAGGCCGTGAAAAAGGCTAACACTGAAGAAGTGAGGTTCTTACCCACGAAAGCTTATGCTCCCAATACTTCAGTTAGTCTCAAAGGTGCCACAGGACCCTCTGTTGCTTTTTACAGTCCTAGGATGCATCAGGCGACGTATTTCCAGTAGAGACAGGGAAGTGTTAGTACCATTGTACAAGGCACTGATGAGACCTCATCTGGAATATTGTGTGCAATTCTGGTTTCCCAGATCATTTAGGAAAGATGAATTCAAACTGGAACAGGTGCAGAGAAGGGCTACTAGGATGATTTGAGGAATGGAAAACCTACCTTATGAGAGGAGACTCAAATTGCTTGGGTTGTTTAGCCTAACCAAAAGAAGGCTGAGGGGAGATATGCTTGCTCTCTATAAATACATCAGAGGGATAAATAAGAGGGAGGGAGAAGTCAAGCATCAATATGGACACAAGAACAAATGGATATAAACTGGCTATCAACAAGTTTAGGCTCAAAATTAGGTGAAGGTTTCTAACCATCAGAGAAGTGAAGTTCTGAAACAGCCTTCCAAGGGAAGCAGTGAGAGCAAAAAACCTAACTGGCTTCAAGACTGAGCTTGATAAATTTATGGAGAGGATGGTATGATGAGACAGCCTACAAGGGCATGTAGCCGATCTGCAACTGCTAGAAGCAAATATCTCCAGTGGCTGGTGATGGGACACTAGATGGGGAGAGCTCTGAGTTACTACAGACAATTCTTTCCCAGAATTCATGTGTCCTGCAGAATTTTTTTTCTGCCAAAGAAGTGCTGCAGTTCCACCTTTTTTCCACCAGAGGCCCCTGTGGTGCCACAACAGCCAGCTGTGTTTATGCTGCTAGCTGTTGTGGCACCACAGTGGCCTCTGGTGGGTGAAAGGTGGAACTGCAACACTTTGGCAGAAATATATTTTCTGCAGGAAAAAAAATTCTGCAGGATGCATGAATTCTGAATATCTGCAGATGTGCAGAATTCCTGCAGGAGTAGATTAGAAATAATCAATTCATGGATCCCAGTCCTGTATTTTTCCCCAATAGATCATACATTTTTCTTTATAGCCATTAAACAGTGGTTATAGTCAGAAAAGTGACTCTCTAACACATATTCAAGGTCATTTAAAATTTCACAAGGGGAGGATTTCTTGAACTCACGGGAAAAAAAACAGATTTCATTTTCAATGTAATAAGATAGAAGAAAAGTTTCTCTAGGCATTGTCTGACATTTCATAAGAGTGTTTGCTCTATCAAGCAAAGTGATTCTTTTAATTACAGGATCAGAGAAAAGCCAACTCGTTTTCATACCTGTAAGTGCCACTGTATGTCCTCCACCACAAGCTACCTTATTAACCCTTTCCAAAATTCCAGGAACAGGCTGTGGAACCCTATTGTTTTTCAGTTGTTCAGGCAACAAACCTAGCTTCCCATTCTCAGGCTCTCCAAAAGTGTAGAGCTCACCATCTCCTGTGGAAATACAAAACAGAGCAGGATTCTTAGTACTTCACTAAAAGGCAGAGCTGGGCCAAGATATTTTCTCATGCTTTCATGATTTGTAAAGTACCCGTTGCTTTTTGGACTTTTGTTTTAAATTATCAATCAAACAAAATGAGAGTTTTAACATTTCCCTATGTGAGAAGTCTGTCAAGAAGAAAAGCAAAACAATACTTGATTCTGAGAGGTGACAATGCATCACAACTCCCATTCTAGTCACTATATAAGTCAATTGGAGTTGCTTGCAGGGGTCTTAGTAAAGACTGGCCCTACTAATGGGATACATGTTTTGTTTGAAAGTCCACGCTCTCTTCCGATGGAGAGTGAGGGGACAGAATAGGAAAGCAGTGCAAATATTGTAAAAAGGTTTGTTAATGAGCTACATGACAAGAAAAGAACCATTGTTCTGAAGACTAGAAATAGATGGCACTATATCTAGTACTCCAAGGTTCACTATGGCATTATCTCCATCAGAAGAGATTTCTCCACCTCAGTATTACATAACAGCTTTCTGGTCAGCCCAGCAATTAAATAAAAGAAAATCCTTCCCAGACACCTAGAGTTAGTTTTACGGGCACCGGGTTCGCAATCTGTTCAATCCTAAATACAGCAATCCATTCTTTTATAAAAGAGTTTCCTTTGTTTTAACACTTTTCAGTTTCCACCTTTGTTTTTTACGTCAGTCTGAGTTATCTAATCTGGCCATCTGTTTACCCTTCTACTATATTGATAGAAGAGTTAAATATGTCAAATTTACTGTCTAATGCTGTGCCAGTCTTTAAATTCCAATCTGATTTTCTGTTCCAAAAGCTGTGTTAGCATTCTGCTATCCTAGGTAAGAGCTAGGTCAAGTGGGAGAGATCTTTGGTTTCTGGGTGAAGCTCCAAGGACATAGCTATGGGTCCTCACCAAGCCTGAAAGAGGTCAGTAGAAACATTTCCCATAGTACTTGAGTTGCTCCTTAGAACTGATGTTCACACTGAGACTCCCTCTATACCTGAAGCAGCCGAATGCAGTCATTTTTTTTTTTTAAGCCACAATTAGAGTTACTCCATGATGGTGCTCTGGCAAACTGTAAAAGCAATAGGCATTAAGCCAGTCGTAAATAACAGGAATCAAGAGGCCTGGGTTCTATTCCCAGCTCTGCACTGACCAGCTGGGTTATCCAGCACTCTGTAGCTGTTTCTGCAACCATAAAGTGGGGACAATGAAACTTACTTTCCCCTTTTTAAAGCATTTCTATGGATAAAAATGCTATATAACAGCTACGTATTACGAAAAGGTGTTTACTGACTAGGGGTTTGACCCAAAACCTATTTAAGTCAAAAAGAAACTTTCCAATGAAGCAGAAAGAATCACCATAAAAATTATTTACATCTCCATATATCCTCTAAGAAACAGTTTGATTTTGTTTTTTAATCACAGCTGGATTTACCAAAGCAAAAGGATAAATAAATCTCTCATATGAAGCAAATCCAAGACAAAAATGTTTAGACTAAGGGCTGGGTGCTCAGGGAAACATGTTAATTATGTGGCTGTGGCCATTACTTAAAACACTGGGCAACTGTCCCATTATTGAAGCATAATTATAGATATCTATCTAGAGAACATTTCTGAGATCTACTAATTTTCCATAATTATAGCCCAATAAACTTAAGCATTAACAAACCACATTTATAGAATTAAGAGGAAGTATTAATACACACAGCAAATGTTTAAAGGATCATATCCAAATGCTATGAATTCAAACGCACTTTCATAAAACTACATTTTAAATGCTCTTAATACACACAAATCAGACTCCAAAACATGAGCCCATAAGTAACTGCATAGTATATAACACTATATTTCCTTGCATGGCCCAAGCAATTTTACATTAGAATCCTTCCCTCATGTTTATCCCTTTCCCCATCTCTGTCATTTGGATTTTGAGGTCCTAAGGGCAACAATCATGCCAAAACCAAATAAGTCTAGAGGACAGAAATTGAAAATAAGAAGGAATTAAAAATAATCACATACTCAAACTCAAAATAGAAACAGGTAGTTAAGCCTACATACACACTTGTCCAAAGCAAATGGGTATGAATAAAATCATTAAAAAGCAAGGTTAATAAAATCAATTACCAGTTCCAAAGCCTACTGAAGTCAATGAAACCTAAATGGGCAGAGTAGGCAAAAGCAAGGAATTAAAATGTTTTTTTATTTTGAAAAATGAAAAAGTAGCAATTCAGAGTTCAAACGAAATGCACCATTTGTGTTGCATGCATTCCATTTCCCTCTTCCCTTTATCAAATCCGTATTCAGCTTTTACTCCGGTAAAACACTCACTGAGTGTATAGAGCTGTGGCTCAAATTAATTGCTGAGGTAATTCTATTTAAATCATCTGAATTGCCCAGGGCTGAATTTGGCCCATTGTGTTTTTCTGCTGAGCCAATGTTTAATTTTGTAGAATTTTGGTTCTTAGTTATTTGGGGCTAGATTGTGTCAACAGCAGTTAGTGGGTGGCAAAGGGTAGCACAGAGCCTCCTATCCCAGGAGAAGGACTAGATTAGTCAGAGAAGCAGAATGCCACCAGAAGCTCGGACAATATGCAGCATTTCTTCCTGTCACCACCTCCTTGGAGGAAGTAATTAGGGAACAGTCCATGCACTCCTCCAACTGCAAATCGGCCTGGATCTTGCACAGGATACACGACAGATTTTTTTCTTCACTTTTTTCCTCCTTTATAGTGCTGGTACAGGACAAATATAAGGTTGTTTGCATGCCTTAACTGGGAATTTCTTACTTTAACATAAGGGTACACTTTAAAAAAATACAGTTAACACTGAAATTCCTGGTTTATATTGCTGATTTGGGGGATAATTACAACATACTGAAACATTGTTTACCCCTAAATTACTGATACTTCTTCTCAATCTTCGTTCCATTTTAAAGCAGTTTTTTCTCTGGGAATTTCCCTAAAGAGTGTCCACACGAGTACTAAAAAAGAAATCCCCAAACAATGCTAATATGCAATATTTCTAATTATCTGAACATATGTAGTATTAACCTTAAATCATTTAAGTTTTAACTTAAGGACACATTCATTGGTACAGCAAAGTAGCCAGAGTGCACTGACCCGTTAAGTTTGTCTCCCCAGAGCACCACAAAGCAGCTGAAGTGTTCTGGTGAATCTGGCCCTTAATGTGCAACTGATTTAGGCATTTAGAAGGCTGTGTTAACAAAATCGGTGCTAGATCAATTCCCAATGACACTCTGCTTTAATGGCTTCTCCTACACTCCTGCCTCCCACTTCCTCAGCAGTGCTTCCTCAATGTGCGGTGGAGACAAGGCAGCAGTGCTATCAGGTCAACCAACTGACACATAAGCCAGCTGGCAGCTACAGAACCTTTAAAGAGCAATGATCACTGGACTAAATCTGCCAATTTTATACAGCTCTCTCAGTCTCCTTCATACCACTGAGTAATTACCATCAGTAGAAATGCTGAATGTAATTCAGCTGTAGAGGAAGGATGGCAACTAGTTGAGTTACCATTGACGTCACAACAGCTCCACTTAAGAGTTACCTGGGCTGTTGACTTGAGACTGTCTGTAGCCTAATACATTAATTACAATCTAATTTCTTCAAATACAGCCTATGCACAAGATATCAATTAATTTTAACTATATGAAAAGTTTGAAGTGTGTGTTACTCTGTTGCTAAGATCCTTTGGGACAAAAAAGACAGACCCCAGATGCTAAATTTCATAAAGAACCCAGTTTAATTCATCTCAATGCAAAAAGCTAATGGATTTATTTGTATATCCTCAGAAAATTAATTCTGTACTCAAAAAGTAAGTGTTGTAAGTTTGAGGAGAACACCTGTAAACAGAACTGAATCCCTGCGTTAAGTGCAAAATGGATCACTACCTTAACTATGGAATCACAACTAGTGCCTCCATAACAAAGATAATGTGAAAACTATAACCATTCCTAAAGTTTCTGTAAATCCATTAGATAATCTAACACTTTTTGCAACTCGGGGTCAGAATGATACAGAAGAGGCTGCAGTACCAGGCTCTTACTTCGGGATTCTGTTAAGGATTATCAGAGAGGCCCCAGTGTTTTGGGGTGAAAGAAGAGAAAGAAAAGAGTAAATCAATGGCTGCAAATGTTGAAAAACACGAGTCATTATTTTTATGCATCTCTATTTAAGTGTATCTCATTTATTTCTAGAATCAAGTCAGTGAGCTACTGGCTGTTAGAATCTCATGTGCAGCTCTCTCTCAAAAGAAGCTAAAGCATTCTTTTTAAAAATTTAAAATTTAAAGCATTCTTTTTAAAATTCAGCATCCATTTTTCATAAATCTGGAAAAACACCAGTGCACCATATCTATTAACCTGCTCACAATCCTAATTAAAAGGGTTATAGATTCAAGTGATCACTCTTCCATTAACTTCCCAAATTAACCAGGCTTATTCAATTTCTTTTCTAAACTTCATAATCCAGCTAAGAAAGATAGCCCCAATTACTACAGTAAATTTGTGAATACATTAAGAAGACCCTCTTGGGCAAAAAGAAGAACAGGAGGACTTG